CTTATCTATAATTATTTGAGTTTGAAAGCCATGGCTATATTTACTTATAGGAATTTACCATTTAAAATATCATTTTACAAATTGGGTTATAAATATTATGCATACTCATTACAGAACATTTTGAAAATGTAGACAACTATGGACAAACTACATATAATCCCACCTCACCCAGATAATAACACAACATAAGGAATATTTATTTGCAGTATTTTTTTCTTGCATACAAACACATCCTTTAAAACTCAGAAAACAGGGGCTGGGGATTTAGCTCAGTGGTTCTGCCACCTGCCCTGCAAGGGCAAGGACCCGAGTTCAATCTCTGGTACCAAAAAAAAGAAAAAGAAAAGAAAATTTATCATACAGTTTTATATTCTGCTTTTTATAAAAATATTAATAATGAAGTGAGGAGTATGTTCTTGTGCCATTATATATTCTTTGATACATGTTTGTTATGGCTGGACAATGTTCTATCCCATGGACGTATTTATGTGATCAATTTCCTATTAGACTTTTATGTTGTTTTTAACATTTAAACTATATAACAATACTGAAATGTTTACATTTGCAATAAAGTCTTTGTGTGCCTGTAATGGTGTCTTTAGGATAACTTCCCACATGTGAAATTACTGAGTCAAATGGTGTGAACATTGTTAGGATTCCTGATATATTATTGTTTCTCATATACAAGACCTAATAAATTCTAAGATGCACAATTATTACTTTATGCTTTTTATGGAGTTATGTAAGAATCAAATGATTCCACTTAAACATAATGTTTTCTTATCACTTATAACATTTATTTTATAATTATTGAAAGAGCTTTTTGGAGTTTCTTAAATATAAAATTGGCTTATATTCTTATATTCTATATTCTTATATTCTATTCATGTCTAGCTGTAGAGAAAGAACAAAAATCATGGTTAAGGTACTCAGTCCTAAATTTCCCCGTTTTTCTGAGTCCCTTTACCATTCTGTGTGGTCCATGGTCTTAGTGTCATTAGTAACGCTGTGATGGCACATATTTTTTTTTTTTAAATATGTTCCTTTATTGCTCCAGGATTTGTTTCTAACCACTGACATTCTTAAAATTTGGTGTACTGGACAGGCAATGACAACTAAGTCATATCTGTTGCCTGTTTGACAGAAATCACGAAGCACATCTCAAAAAAATTTTTACCCCTGAAAAGGAATGGAATATATTAATTTGCAAATTGTCTGCCAGAAAAGTTTTACTGATTTTTCCTCCTACCAGCAGCGCATGAAGTAATCCATTTCCTTTATACCACACTCCATATTGGGAATCTGTAATGAAAGACCTTTGCCAGTTTGAGGGTGATAAGCAGTATCTCACTTTGATTTATACTTCTTTCATTGTTTGACCCGATGAAATTTATTTTCATATATTCTTGGTCACTTGTATTTCTTCTTCTGGCAATTGTTCAAATACTTGGTTAATTTTTCTGTTCTGATGTTAATCTTTTATCTATTAGGAGTTCTCTACATGCCTTCCGATAAGCAATTTAGAAAGGGTGTTAATCTTTCATCTATCATATGTTCCAAATAGTTTTCTGGCTTAGGTTTTAGTGTGATTTTAATTTAATTTTATGGTATTATTTTTATTATGTACAGATACATCTGTTTGCAGGTAGTCAATATTTTTCTCGGATTTCTTCACTTGTTCTTATGTTTAAAAAGTTCTCCCTAAATTTAAAATAAGTATTAATCTTTACTTTCTTCTAATTATTTCAGTTATCACTCTGTTAGACAAATTAATTCTTTAATGCGTAATAAAATTGTCTTGGTGAGAATCTAACCTAATTTTTTTTCCCACAAAAGTCAATGACCTGTACCAATACCATTGACTAAGCCATACCTTTCCTAGTAGTTTAAGATGTCAACTTTTCAAATACAAATATTTTTATATTTACTAAGGTCTGTATATGGGGTAGCTATTCTCATCCAATACTTCAATACTTTGTACCTCTATTCTTATTCCAGGGTCATATTGTTTTAACTATTAATTGAGGTAACTATATAATTTAGCAATCAAACATATACGTTTGCATGTGAGCTATGTGTGGATAACAGGAACAAATTTAGACTACGTACTATGGTTTTATGATGTATTTTCACATCTGCTTGAACAAGATTCTCCTTGTGACTTATTTTCGAAATTGGTAGCTCTTTTCTGAAGCATAAAAATATGACGAATATCTGAGAAGTATTTTTACTTCATGTGTAAAGGTCTTCCATAATTTATGTGAGAATGGTTTGCTCAATCTAAATGAATTTATGTTGATTAGGATTTTTAAAAAAAATTTCTATTGCTTTATACTTAAGTTCCATTCAGTGGAGAGATACTACCTAGGGTCATCTACCTTGTTTATATCCTCTCTCCTGGTTTCCTTTGGTTTCTACATAGTCAATTATTTGCTCAATTTTTCTTGGGAACCTTCTAGCTAGCTGTGATCCCAGGTACTCTACATTCCTCAGGTCTGCGTGGGCCCTTCCACGTTCTCCCACTGCTCACCTGCTTGGGCACCCTCATCACTCGTGAGTACAAATGAGTAAAGTTCAATGGAGCCTCAATTCAGATACTCTCCAAAGGATGCAAATACGTGGTCCAAGCTGAGTCAGCGACAGAGGAATACGGGCCTTTCCTGCAAATCCAGACAGGACAAAGTCTTGCCTGAGTGTCAGATTGTTTTGCACTGTGGCAGGAGGCAAATGGTTTTGAATTTTATTTGTCTTGGAACATTTATGCCTGCCTTGTAAATGCTGTCTGGTACATGTTCTCCAAGGCCACCATTCCTTCAGCCATTGCATTTCTGTTCTATCAAGCACTGTGCAATGTCCTCATCCCTTTATAGGAACAATGTTATAAATCTTTGTGTCTATAGGAACACAAAAATACAAGGAAGTTGAACAGCAAGTGTCTGTTGAAAACGTTTTGAATGACTTTCCAGCCAGAGACTTCTATGGCACAATAGAGATCACCAGGCTTCCCGCAAACTTGATGTTAATTTTTTGTTGTTGGTTTTTTTTGAGACAAAGTCTTGCTATATGGTTTAATCTGGCCTTGAACTCACCGTGTAGCCTAGGCTGGCAGTGATCCTCCTGCCTCAGCTCCCCAGTGCTGGAATTAAGGCATGCACCACCACACCTGGCTTTGATGTTAGTTTTAATGAAAACATTTTGGTAGAGAATGAGACATCACAGATCCAACAGGGACTCACAAAAGGTTTGGTGGATAATTCCTGAGCTTCATCCTAAAAGTTAGCTTTCCAAGGCTACATCTTTCTTTTTAGTTGTCCTTTGCTTTTTAACCCTGCTCTTGTCCCTAGGTCTTTATTGTTTCTCCCATTTTTCTTTGTCACTTCTTGTCTTTTCCCTCACACTAACCTATATTTATTAAAAATCATGTTGTAGCTAGAATGTGTTTTTTCTTCTGCCACACAGCTCACCATACCCACTTCTTTCTATTTTATTAGGTTCATCTGTTAAAGCTTATCGCACTGGTCTCTTCAGGGTCCCCGTCCTTCTTTGCAATGCTCAAATTTAGGAAGTTCCCAAATTACAAAATAACGTGTTTCCAACGTGCCTTTGTTAATAACTGTCCCTTGGAGCAGCTTTTCCCACCAGAAGAAGGCTCTTAGTGATGTTTACAATTCCAAGTACTCTACATACTACATATTTATTGAGTCAAGTATTGGCTAAGGGCTGGTGACTGAGAATTCTTGTGTTTCCCAGCTGGTCCTTCAGCACCGTGATGTTTGAGTAGGACTGTTTATTCCCTGATCCCCTTCTCACATATCACGTGAAAGGATTCTTTTTGCTCTGCTAAGCATATGATCTTTCTTTAGCATTGGCTTTGCAAATTGTAGCTTTCTCCATATAGTTCATCTGTAAGACACCATAGTAATAGTCAATGAAGCAGCAACTATTTGCACATGCTGATTAAAATTTAGTGGTATCCCCGGGAATTTAGCAATATCCCTAGGGCCATCATGGCCTATGGAGTGAGATTCACTGAGAAACGAATATAATGTTATTAAAATATTATCGTCAGAGGTGGCAGAGTCTCTGTGATGATGTAGGGCAATTGTCTGCAGGTTATTTCCTACGATGTGATTTCCAGGTGACACACAGAAGGGCTCATTGTCAATGCTGAATGCCCAATGAATGAATGAATGAATGAATGAACGGCAAATGTATACAGGAAGACGCCTGGACATATGTTTTTAGGATTTTCTGGATTTGGGGCATGAATGGGAAGGACTTTTCATCTCTTATTTCCTTCTTATGAGTTACCAGAAAGGCCCAACTTTAAGCCTCTATTTTGTGACCTCTAGTTTGTTTTGTGGAGTCCAGAGAGAACAAAGCCTTTATGGCACTTGCTTTACTTTGCATCTTTTTTCTTTGCCAAAGGTGGGTCAGTTTTGAGAAACAATTTGTCCAAGACTATTTACCTCAGGAGGTCAAGAAGCTTCTCACAAGAAGCATAAATATGCTTTGTATCCTGTTTCAACTTAAAAAGAAGGAAGTGGGGGCGCTCTTGGATGGCCCCAGGCCAGATGTACATGAACCTCCTTGGCCTCTGGTAGTTGGAGCTCGAATTTTAGAGCTGGCAGTGGGCCTGCCTTCCACAGGTGGTAGGTGTGGCTGCTCCCCCGACGCCACTTAGATCAAATCTGTCCCGTCAGGACACGGGACAGAGGGACTGCGATTCAACCCGGAGCTTCCCTCCAAGGTACGGCTTGGCCGGGGCTGTCTTCACTGGGAGCCCCTCCTCACCTCCGGAGGCCGCCCTGCTGGGAACGCGGTCCCAGGACCGCAGCAGAGCGGGCGCCCCTGGTTGCGCGCGCTCGCGCGTGTCCTGGCCGGTGGGGGGCGCTCTCTGGTGGGAACCCCGGACTCACCCTCGGGGCGGGGCGGGGCGGGCCGGGTCCCTCCATCCCCTCCCTCCCACGCTCGGCCGAACTTTCCTCGGGCTCCTGTGCGTCTCGGCTGCCGCTGGGGAGGAGGCGCCGGCCGCCCGCCGCCCCTGGAGTCCTCGCCGCTCCAAGGCGCCCGGTGGGAGTCAGGTGCTCCGCCGCCCCCTGCGCTCTCGGCCCGAGGGCATGCGGCAGCCGCGGAGACTCCGGCTCCCGGGCGCGGGGCGCGGGTGAGCGTGAGCGGTGAGTGAGGTTCCGACGCTGGGAGGGTCCCCAAGTCCTGGCCGGCGGCGCTCGCGGGGACCCCGGGCGCAGAGACTGCTGTCGTGCCAGGCCGAGGCTTTTTGGAGCTGCCTGGCTTGCAGCCCGGGCACTAGACCCTCGTTAGACTCCTGGGCAGTATTTTTCTGGCGTGTGTGTGGCACATCTTGCGGAGTTCCATTTTCTTCTCTCCAGGAGCAAAAAGCAATCGCGATGCAAACTCGGCGCTGTGTCCTCTACCCTGTGGGCTGCGGGCTGTGGGCTATGGGCTGGGCATAGGTGTCTTCTCCAGACTGGCTCTGGGGCCGTGGGTGATGAGGAAACCCAGGTTGGTTCTCTCTTAGAACCTCGGGGGGGGGGGATCACATTTTTCTGCCCCCAGTTACTCACTGTACGGTAGGATGGTGTGTCCGTTGAAAACAGCCTGAAGGCATCTAAAGAAACTTTTAAGGGTCTCAGAGTTGTGGTGAATGAGTAAGTGAAAGTCCGCGCGGTCCCCCTGGCTACTGGCAGACAAGAGTGCTTTGTTTTGCAGTAATGCTGCTTTATAGCTTTTCCTCAGCAAGTTGCAACTACCCAAACTTGCTTAGAAATTTCTCAAGCATGTAACTCGAAGAGTGAGTGACTGTGAATATTGGAAGCAATTTGCTCTTATTAAGGTAATCATTAAAACGACCCTCAAAAGCATTTGTAGATCGGTTTTTAAATTGAATAATTTTCACGGAATGTTTCCCACAAAGTTGCCGTTGTCATTGTAACACTTTTCTCCCTTCTCATTACCTGGACTTGGAATGTCACTTCAGAAGGAAAGGGCCATTTGGCTTCTGAGGGTTCCTGCTTGTCTTTTCTGAGTAGGAGACTACTGTAAAGTGAACATCAGTCACAGTCTTTTCTTTGCAAATAGACGACCATTTCATGGATGCATTATTACATTTCATTAACGCAGGAGCTTTTGTATTGCTAAGGAAAGTCCTTGTATTTTCTAGGAACTTTCTATCAGTAGTTTCTAATTCTGCTTCCCTTGAGACATTGAATCCAACTTTGTGTGGTGGTCGGAGTCAGTCAGTAGAATTTTCTTCTTTTTCTTTCTTGTCCAGAAATGAAACAGTTAGAAACACACAATTTTGGTTCTACTAATAATGCCATGCTTGTCTGAACAAACTGAGACATTGTAAATAGTCCAGCAAGCAAATTCTTCCAGTGATGGTTGTGTACTTGAGATAACGCTTCAGAGCTCTCTCTTGTGCCTTGAGACCATGGACTTGGTATCATATAGGGTCCTAGACATCTAACCATCTGGACAACACTTGTATTAATTGTCACTGCTATGTAATGAGTAAAATAGATAAATTTGGGACATTTTTCTTATTTCTTTTTTTTCTTCTTCAGAATTCAAAACTTTGAGGCTTTGATTTAATCACACGAAACACCTCTTTTCTAAATCAGACCAATGCATTCATCAGCTACAAGACCATATCAGATCGGATCTATTTTGGGTATCTGGTTGTTTCACAAGATGTTTGATAGAACAGAACTGCATGTTTTCTGTGAATGAAGACTGAAATGAAAACACAAAAATATATGATTGTTTTTCATGAATTCTCATCAGAACCTATTGGAGATGCTACAAGTTAACTGCTGTCTCAGTTTTCAAAGACACACAGTGGATACAAAGGATTGTAGCCAGGTAGCAACTGAGGCACAAACTCTCAAAGTCAGTTGAACACACACATGCCAATGACTGGCTGCTTCTCCTCCAAGTTTCCCAGCTTCTTGCTGAGGAGCAGCAATCTACCATAACTAAACCTAACCTCTTATTTCTTTGGGCTGGGGCAAGGGGAATCACTATAACTTGAGTGGGAATTACTATAACTCAAATTACCCATTAGCATTCTCCTTGGAGTATGCATTAGTTCAAATGCTTTCAGGCCTGTGATTATACCCAACAGAGTGGTTAAGTCTGACTGTAAGCTTTTAAATGACAGAGATGAGGCCCAAGGCATTATTAATGTGGGATAAAGGGAAGAGCAAGGCTTTGCAGTCAGACTAGCCTTTAGCCTTTGTTCCAGCCAGGCTTTGTGACCTTGGACACATTGTTTCACCTCACTAAACCTTAATTTCATCATCTGTTAAAAAAAAAAAAAATGGAAAATTATATCTACCTCCCAAGATTAAAAGAGAAAGAATTTAAGATTCTCTGATATGCAGGAAGTACTTCTTAAAAAGGGGCTGCTCTCTTTCTCTTCAATAAACATTGAAGTCTTGACATTTATGTAAACATGGGTGCAAATGTATGTTGTTCCAGTGATGAATGTATCAAGATAGATTCTCACACTCTGGGTGATTTATAGATGCTGTGCATGCTTTTCTTATGTGCTGTCTTTTTTTCTGACCATGGGCCTTGTGCTTCTCCCTCGCTCCACTCCTCCTGCAGGAACGGAGCCTCCTTTTGGGCCTCGATGATCCTTTGTCTCTTGTCCTGGATTTTGTATGTAGATGGAGTCCCCTGAAACTGCATCCTGCTGCGGATGGGAAGGTGGTGAGGTTGTGGAGCTGTCTGCATAGACACTGAGCTTCTGCTTTTGCAAATGACGAGTTTGAATGAACTATAGGAGTCTGGGTTTTAATCTCAGCTCTACTTTTGTGACCTTTTGTGACCTTGAATATATTACTTGCTATCCTTGAATCAGTTTCATCATTTACAGTGGAGATCATAATTCCTTTTCTGCCTATCTGTATGGGTTTTCAGTGGGTCTCCTTAAGCCCGGTATATGAAAGGTCATATAAATAGTAGACTTAAAGAGGCAGGACATCCAGATGTAGGATATTCCAGGCAGGCTCACTCAGCACTGGCTACATGGGGGCTACATGGGGGTGTCTTGTTGCCAAGTGGCCATTGCTGCAGTTCATTCATATCCCTTTCTCCTGTTCTCTGAAGTCATGCTAGACTTCTAGGAGGAAATTGTAACGAGAGGTTGAGAAACTGCTCTGTGGGGAATTTGCAAGGAAGATTAATTCTGGAACTGAGATTACCTACCAGGATACAATCGAAGGTATGGGACAAAGTTCTAAAGAAGCTTTAACTCCTTTTTAAAATTACTAGTACTTTACGGTCGGCTCACCTCAGGCCTTAGCAGGGAAAAACAAAGAGCAAACAGTGGCAATGGCAATCATTGGACATTGAATTGGGGTGCACCTACACCACGCTTCTTCTCCAGTGCATTCTTGCTAATATGGGTCTCTACAGAGTAATACCATGACTCCAGATGGTCCCTGCCTGAGACAATTTAACAAATTATTTCATCCAGTGTGAAAGATGTGTGAGGCTCAGCCTGGCTGGGAGCCAGGAAAGTAGTCGCCACTAAGAGAAAGGGTCCACCATCCCGACTTTATGCTCATCTGCCTTTTCGCCATCCCCCAGGCCTGTGTCCTCTTCTTCCCTTCCTGGATGACCTCTGCAGCCCCCCGACTCCTAAGATGCTGTCTCGTCCACCTACAGTCACTACATGTGACCCCTGACACCGCCTCACACCCACGAACCCTGTCTCTCTTCATATGTGAATCATTCCTACACCTTAGTTTGGGCCAGACTCAATGTCACTCTGAAAAACAACCCTCCCAGTACTGCCTGGCCCAGCCATTCCTGAGAATGTCAGTCAGGCCCACTAATTACTCCTAGGATAGGCCTAAGTATTCCTTGTTCCCTGGAGATTCAGCTGGTGGTTCTGTTAGCCCTGACCTTGACTCAGCCATATGTGGATTTGTGGTGTTATCAAGGAATGGCTTGGTAGATGGCAGGGCTGGATTGGAGAACACATTAGCCACCCCCTGCCCCACCTCAGGCATAAATGCACCAATCACCCAAAGGCCTTCAAGCAAATAAAGCAGTATGAATAAAAAGCAGTGTACTTGTTTTGTAAATAAAGCTTTAAGGCAAACCTCTGGTCTCTCTTTTAAGCCAGGTTGCTGCAGATCCCATCCTGTATAGAAATTCTGGCACTTTCCCCAGACATCCTCAGACCATGTTAGTTAGTCAGAGGCATTCACTTCCCAAGGAGAGCTAGAAATCCACAGTTAAGGCTCAGAACCTTGGCAGCGACTCATTATTGCAGCCAGAAATCAATTATAGTCTACTGGGAGAACATCAGCAAATCATTTGCCTCCTCTCCTGCTGGACTTTTAATGTCAGTCCTTTGACTTGAGGCTCTTTCTCTGTACAAACACTATCATATGGGTCTGATAAAAAGAAAATAAGTATAGTCAACCCCAACCCTCTCCGTGGTTTCCACAATCACAGATTCAATGAACCATGGATCAAAAACATTCAGGGAAAAAAATGTGTCTGTACTGAGTATGTATAGACTCTTTTCATTTCTATTTTCCCTAACAAATAGATTCTATCTATTTATATAGCATTTACATTTTATTAGGTATTTGTTATAAATAAAATAGAGATGATTGAATGTATACAGGAGGATGTATAGAGTTATAGGCAAATACTGTGCCGCTTATATAACAATTTGGTGTTTTTTGTTTTTTTTCAATTTAAGTAAAATTTATTGAGTGCCTATAATGTGCATGGACTTTTATTAGACACACTGAAATTCCAGCACAAAACAGAGATTCCTGGCCTGAGGTACCTTATAATCTAGTTAAAAACAGTAGACAGACAAGTTACATGGTAATGCTCAGTTACCAAGAGTTGACATTAAAGAGCTGTGATTTAGGTGATCCAAAATGGCATCTAGTCCTAAAATCATTTATAAAATGTATTTGGCCTTAGAATCCACAGCACTTCAAACAGGGTAGGTTCCACTGCAGATAAACAGTCACAAAGATGAAAACACACTGAAACACTTAAGAGCACTATGAATGATTTTTGTTATTTTGGATCTTTTGTTTTCTTCTTATTATGATCTGAAGCCTCCATAATACCAATTTATCAGACAGAAGCATGTGATCTTGTTGTTCTATATAACTCA